GTGCGTGCGTGCGTGCGTGCGTGCGTGCGTGCGTGTGTGTGTGTGTGTGGAAGAGAGGGTGACACAGGGCCAGTACTCAGCGTGTCATATCCCAAGTTTAGTTTCTGCTAGTTAATAAAATGTTGCTTCTTGTTATTATTTCCTACGTTACATAATTTATTGTGAATTACTGCTCAACTTTTATTTATACCTTTGAAAAACAAAAGTGTGTGTATTCCCTGTTTCAATTCAGATTATCACCAAGATAAAGACACACAATGATCCGGGCGTCCCCGTGGACGTTGATGGAATTTGTGACAGAATATTTGACTCTGTGGACAAGAATAAAGACAGCAAGTACTACAGTATATCACAATCATCTTTCTTCTTGTGCTGTTTTACTTTGATCACATTCAGATTGTGCGTCCTCCTGCGTCTCTTAGGTCAGATTACTCTGGAGGAGTTCATGGAGGGGGCTGAGAAGGACCCTTGGGTGTTGGAACAGCTCAAACTGGACATCGGGCCCTGTGATTGGTTCATTGATCGGAATGAGAAGAAACCCTAATAAAGAGGATTCATGATATATAACGAACACAAAGTAGAAGTCTGCCGTCGGAGTTGTTTACACACATTGGTGTCAGGTCAACGCTCATGTTGGGAGGTTTTCGAAGGACTCAATCTGCATCGTGTTTTTTTCAATGGGAGGACATTTCTTCGGTTGTGGGAAATGCAGAACAATGGAAGATGCACCTGCATTTTCTAAGTGAAGCCTCTCAGTTGTACAGAGTTTGAGGACACAGACACATCATGGCTGAAGACGCTTTTTGACAAGAAACATTTTTATGCCTGGAAAATGGTGAATGGACACCTTTGACATATCTCTTGATGTTTACTCATTCAGATTCAAAGTGGATGCATTACTCTCCTTATTTATAATGATAAAACTCCTAAAACATATTTCCATCTGTATCGCAAAATGTAACTTGTGCTTGTTTTCTGTAAGTGAGATTGGTTGTGATTTATTTTTGTTAAATTTGAATGGTGACTTGAAGGCAATATGATATGAGGATATTTTACTCTCAGATTTACTCTGAAATGTTCCATCACAGCAGCTCCATTTGCAACGTCAACGAGGATCAATATTAAGACAAGAATTAGGGAAACAGACATAACATTACAATCACTGAAGGCAGTTGAAGTCCCTTTAACCTTTAACATACATTTGATCGATTAAACCTTGTATTTAATTTGAGGATTGACTTCAGTCTAACTTTATTAAATGGTGGGACCCTCTATCGATGTAATGGTAACTATTACTATTGAGAGATAATGTTAATATGTTTTTTATGATGATTCATTGAGCTCTCACCCTAAAGCGGTGGACAAACACTTGTGCCAAGTATTATTACAATACTGTACAACTCTCAATCACAGAGGTAAATAGCAGAAGAACAATGTGTCAACTAGCCCCAAAGGATCTAAGGCAGCGGAGAAAGTCAATCATTGACAAATAATAAGTGTCTCTTTAATGAAATTACCTGCAGGTAAGCCATCTTATTGGAGAAGCACGTCAAGATAGGGACGTACACTTATTCACTTTCTTGATGAAACGAAGCTAAGAGGATCAACTCTAAGGTCTGTGAGCTAAAACTCGAGACAGTTAGCTAAGCTTAGCATAAAGACTGGAAGCATATTAAAAACTTCTTAAACACACTGACTACTGAAATTCGTATTTCACTTTCCTTAACTGTGTTTTTGTCCATGCTCATAGCTCTCACCCCACAGGAGGGACTTTTAACACTTTGGCAAGTTAAGTTCAGGCTAGCTGTTTCCCTGTGTTCTATCTTTATGCTAAGCTACGCTAACAGTATCTTGGCTTTTATAGTCATAATTGAGAGTGGTATTAATAATCTCCTGACTCTCGACAAGTAAGCAAATAAGCGTCTTTACCAATTTGCCGAACCCACTATTTAACAATTCACAGTCCATATTGGCAACTGGCAGGCTAACCTTTCTCTAAAGAAAGATGTACCACAGGTAAAACCCAAAGAATTTAAGGCTATTTTCCCATTTACCACAGTTCAAATCTTACTATTGCAACCCAACATTATCAGGAATATACAAATGAACATTGACATGGTTTGTGCCCTTATAGATGCATTTGAAACATATATATATCTAGAATTCTTATATTTGAATGTGATGATGATATTGTTGGGTATTTTTGTTTCATATACTTCCATGTAACAAAAAACTTGCTGCTGTGAATAATAATTTCCCAATTTTGGATCAATAAAGTATTTTCTGATCTAATATTAGTCACAGCTTTTCAGTTTTCTATGACTTTCTTAGCCTTTTATCACTCGTGCCTGGTTTGAAACCCAGAAGGTGGATGAGGAAGAAAATATTATAATAAGAAGAACCATACATGCAGAGGGGATGACTGCATATGGCAGTATCATTAGTGTTAATTTATTTTACTATTACGTTCCTGTCTCTTTCTTTCGTCATGAGCAGTCTATATACTGTACAGAACACTATGATCCAGACTCAGCTCATTAGCCTGATGGGAGCTTTTACTGTATGATTTAGCCTGACTCACTATTCTTAGCCTTTAAGGCTCTTTGCCTAATGGTATCATATCCTTTAGCTCCACAGAGACCCTAGTGAGAACCAGACACACACACACACACACACACACACACACACACACACACACACACACACACACACACACACACACACACACACACACACACACACACACACACAGAGATATCTTTATTTAATCATTTTTTTCATGGTGTCCACTTGTTAGCTGTGGCTTAACAACTTGCTTATTACTCCGTTTGTTTAAACCTGAAGTAAACCGTAAGATGAACAATGTTCACTGAATAACAACCTTTAACTCAAACTGCAGTTTCAAACCAATTGATTTTATTTTGCTGATTTTTCTTTACCATTTCTTATTACCCCAAGCAGTAATAGATTGGGTGCGTTTTTAATTATGAAGCGTTTTAAAGGAACAGTTAAACTTGATGACCAAAACACAAGCTGGGAGGTTTTATACAGCTGATCTCCAGACTGAAACCACACACAAGGAATCTGACTTTATGTCTTACGTGGAGAAACGTGTGCAGTGGTTTGCAAAAAGTGCCATGTTGATTTGCAAATTGTGTGAAAAGCTGAAAACCTGTTTAGAGATTTGAGCCGATGTTTTGCTCTTTGAGTGTCAGTTAAAATAATTGTGCTTTATGTATAATTTTAGTGTGTTAGCAATCTATAAAAACTGTAAGTAGCTATTAACCACACTTATCACGTTTTCTTCTATATCCAGCACTAATGTAAGATCCATTACCTTGAGTCAGATGAGCAGTTTTAATCATTAAAACTGCTCATCTGACTCAAGGTAATGGATCTTACATTAGTGCTGGATATAGAAGAAAACGTGATAAGTGTGGTTAATAGCTACTTACAGTTTTTNCACTTATTGTAAGTCGCTTTGGATAAAAGCGTCAGCTAAATGCAATGTAATGTAATGTAATGTAATTTGAGATATGTTTCGAACTCAGACTTAATTTTAAGGACATTAAAATGTCGTTATCCCGACTTTATTTTTTCTCTCTCTTTTGTCCCTTCAGGGGCTCCCTAATATTTAGATCAACAAAATAAGTCTATATTAGAATTTGCAAATAAAGATAAAAAAATGTATTTACATTAACATAAAAAGTTTAACTGAAAATGTGCAATAAAAGATACAAAAGTATAGAATATAAATATTGATTCAAACATACGTAAGAAATTAAGGTAAAAAGTAAATCCAGGAGTCTACTGTATATACAGTACATGTAAATAGATCAAATATACTGATGTATGTGTATTAATGTAGACTGAGTACACTGAAAAAACTGAAAAGTTGAGTTGAATTAAATGAATTATGTCAACATATTACGAAAAAAATATATATATACTGTATATATATGTTAATAATTACATTTTTGTTTTCGCCCTTTTCGGATGTGTAATTAAGTAGATCATTTGTTTATATATAATTTGCTCGTCAATAATATTTTTTGTTTATCAATTTGATACTGCTTAAAGGTGGGGTATGTTAATTATTTCAGAAACACTTTTTATTATATTCCATGGAATGCTCTTAATATCCCGATAGCAATGAATATATGAAATGCTTTGACAATAAATACATTAAAAAATGTCATCTGTGGAAGCCGTGGCGCTGTAAAAAGCACGACCAATCCTCTGAGCCGGCCCGGCTAAAATAACTGGATGGCCTACCTGCCTGTCAGCCTTCCATCTGATTGGTCAGGTGCACGTTCGTGTGTGTTGGAGGAGGGGCTCTGTAAGGAAGTGGCAGATTTTTTCCGGCTGCGTATTTTCAAATTCTAGCGCATTCGAGCTGATTTCTCCAAAATTACCTACCCCACCTTTAAGTTTGTACAGTATCATAATTCTCATGTTTCATTTCATTATTATTATTATTTTGTTGTATTATTGTTTTACAAGTTTGAAATAAATCATATCAAATACAATTTAATTTAAATAAAAAATATTAGTTTCAAATTAAAATCACTGCTTTGAACTGAACTAATGAAGTTATGTGACATTTGTTGACATAATACATTTAATCAAAGTCAACGTTTCAGTTTTTTTCAGTGTATATTTTTTGTACTGCTTTTATTCTGCGTGTTTTGTGCCCCGCAGGTCAGATAACGCTGTCAGAGTTCATGGAGGGGGCTCAGAAGGACGAGTGGCTGATGAACCTGCTGAAGTTAGACGTAGATGCCAAAGGTTGGGTCATCCAGAACTGCGGGAAGACGTCCTGATTCCTCACCTGTGGGTTCTCCGCCCACAAGATATGATCTGAGGCTGACACACAGCTGCTGTCTGGGGTTTCGTCTCCGTGTCGAGCTTCTCGAGACTTTTGAAGCTGCACGGATGAATGCAGGTTTGCAGAGGTTTTAAACTCCGGTGCACAGGTCCGAGTCCTCTCTGCAAACATGTGCTCTGTCCTGATGTTAAGCTAATGTGGCTAACACAGAGCTAACACAGAGCTCTGGGAAATGCAGAACAGCAAATTGTTGTGTATTCCTGTTTATTATGTGTTTTTATATTATTTTTGATAGTGTAGTTGTCTCTGCAGAGGGGTGGGTAACTACATTAACTCAAATACTGTATATAAGTATAATTCTGAGGTACTTTGCTTAAGTATTTCAAGTTTAAGCTATTGCATATTTCTACTCCACTACATTTTTTAAGTCAATGTTGTACTCTTTAATTCATCCATGTTTATCTCGCATCTTTGAACAGATTCAGATGACTAGCTAATACAAAATATAAATCAACTAATAAATCAACATTGACATATCAATCAGAAATCCATCAAAGTGAAAATATACAGTGCAGATAAAAGGCCAACTAACATATTAAATAAAGGCAAACACGTAAACAAATCAAATAAGTTCAAAATCTAAGGACATGTAGTTAATTTATCATAATCTGCTCCACCTTGACCAGCGTGATGACAACATTAATGCATCAATAATTATAACCCTGTTATTTCATATGATCCTGAAATGGGAAAACATGCATACTTTTAAGTATATTTTAATGCCAATAATTGTGTACTTTTACTTAAGTAGGATTTTAAATGCAGGATTCTTACTTGTAACAAAGTACTTTACAATTTACTTCAGGTAACATGTGAGCACTTCTTCTACTTCTGGTTTAAATAGTTTAATATTTAACAACCTTAAAACACTTTTACATGATCTCATTTCATTTATTTGTTAGTAACTTCAGAGGTTCCTTGTGGTGTTTTTGCATGCATGTGGAGAACATACAACATTTCCATTTATCTAGGTGGTTATAACATGCAAACATGCAGCCGTTAGCCAGCAAAGGCAAATAAACATTTCTGCATTGTCACTGCAAGTATACTCAAATAATTAAGAGACCTTTTCAGGTGAAAGTGATACTTCGTGCTTTATCTGGTTCAGATGTGCATTTATTTAGTTATTAAATAACTTTTTTATCCAAACCTCATGCTATATTTTCTCTTATATTGCTTCTTCACAGTTCACACTTTTTTCCTTATACCACTTGGTGTCGTCCGGATCAGAAAAGCCGAGGCGCTTTAAACGCAATCCTCAGAGGATTAAAAAGTTAATCTTGGCTGCAGGTCTGTTTGTCTGCAGGGGCCGAGGGTACTGATCATAAGTGGAGAAGACCACACTGTGGACATAAAGTGATCAAATTGAAAAAGGGTTAATTGAAAGGCTTGGCCAAGGAAAACAAAAATCTCACATTTGTATTTATTTATCCGTCTTCTACAGATGATATCATTGGAAAAATAACGTGCACATAAACTGGCAACATGACTAACAGGACTGTTCATGTGGAAATGGAGAATTGTAATCTTACCAACATTTAATTATATTCACTTTTTTGTATTTAGACTCTACATTTATCAGTATAAGGAGCATTGGGCAGCTTTTATTTATGCAACTCCAAGCCAATCTCTATGGACTGAGCTCCTGCCATCCTGAACAATTTTTCTCATACCGGGGATCGAAAAACCAGGAATCCTGACCACTACACTAATAATAAAAAGGTATTATGGCATTGTATGCTGTGTGTTATTTGTATCTTCAGAAACTACCTTTCCAACTCCTCAACAGTTGCCTGTCTTTGACTGTTATAGGTTCATGGTACAATGCATGAGCTTCAAATCGAGAGAGATTTGGCCTCACACGGACACCGGAAACTGTATTTTTCTTTACCATTCTGTTTTAATTTCACAATAAAGTTAATAGTAATATTATGTTTGATATTATTATGTTTTATTAACTAGACCACTGGGTCATGTTAAGACCATCTTTTCTGACCGTTTGTTGTTACAAATAAATAAAAACAAGGATAATTGTGTGTTATTGTTGAGTAAATAACAGTGTGTTATTTAAAAAAGAATAACAAATTAGAAGGAAAAAAATATTTAAAAATACAGATGTCAGTATTCTGAGGCTCTGAGCCCCATTTCTTTTCCTCACGGACGGCAAAAAAAGTTAGATATTATACGATTTAAAATTAAAAACAATAATCGTGGCTTGATATTGAGTAAGATTATGTTTTTATGAACCACGCAGCTTCCGGTCTTCCAAGACCCGACCGGACAAAAAGACGTGGTACAGGGCAGGCACGAAACTTACTACCAATAGAAATACATTGCTTTTAAAATCGTTCTGTGTGACACGAAAAAAAGGGGAAAATCGTGTTGGTGAACACGAATCAATAGATTACATTTCGTGACTAAAACACAAAATGCCTTGAGACTGGCTTGACTTATCATTAGGCAATTTTAAGCTACATATTGTTTTCCCGGGGGAACCCTAACCCTCTTTGGGGTCATATTGGATACATACTGTACAAACAACACCATCTACCCCAAAGCAAAACCCTAACCTTTGGCTATTGTCCATGTGAGGAGGCACAGAAGTTCAATAACACATAATGAACTTGAATCCTATTATCTCCTGATTTTGCAATAGAAAGCATTTGTCACAATTATTGTACAACATTGGGACTTTTGCCAGACCCTAACTAAATGAATAAGGAGATGGCCTGAGTATGGGCCCCTACTGGAAGCGGACAACAATATATCTTTTCTTTTTGCTGCAATTTTTCTTCCATAAAACAGTAACCCCAAACTCTTTAAATGTTTTTAAATTGACCTATAATAGTCTCAAGGAACGTTGATCAGAGGATCAAATATATCTGCATATTTGTATACTTAATATATACTTTAAAACTTTTTCATTATTTGTTATGACTTTTAATTATGCAGCATTATATTTAAAAGCAGATTCTTAAAAAAACACTTCAGTATAGACCCAGTACAAGTGGATTGTTTTGTCTCCATCTCGACAAATTAAAATACACCAAGACATTCAGATATTTAAGCAATAGCTCACGACAGGCCGTGGTATATGGTCTTCGCGTGGGGCCGAACAACGCCCCTTAGCTGTGATATAATGAGCATATCACGGCCTGAAGTGAGCTATTGCTTTTATAAAACGGTTACCAAGACTGGCAATATAAAAGAAAAATGCACACTCCAATTTAAATAGTATTTATTAGTAAATAATGATGTTCAAAATAAAATAGTCCCTCCGTTGCCTTCTGCACGAAACATAGTGTGAGATGGTTGCTATGCAACAACACTAACAGCTAGCGAACATATTAGACAGAGAGCGTTGATCGATTATTTGGCTATTTATTTACATTTATTTGTATGTTGCTGTTTATTGTGCACACACTGAAAAACTGTCCAGCATCAGTAGAATGGCGGTCACTTGTATAGGTTGAGGTTGTTCTAGGCTGTTGCTTGGCGAGGCGAGAATATTGCTCCACTTTCTCCGGTCCCCGAGATTGGGCTTCCAGTAGCTCTGGAGAGAGCTTTCGCACCTGTGGCCACTAACGGTCATCATTTCTCTGCTTTGTTTCAAGACCCGCATCAGAAAGCTTTTGAATGGTGGTACTTTTCCAGTTGGTCTACCTGCTCTTCACGTAGGCAAGTCGTCGTTTAGGTGGTTTTTCTTCAGGAGATAGGCACTGCTCAATCCACTCCTCCATAGTAAGGCCACCCCGGAGGTAGAAGTTAACCTTAAATGTTTCCATCTTAAGCTTTGGTAGTTAGTTAGTTTCGTAACGGACGTAAAGTAACAGTTGTAGCT